CCACCCATGACAGCAGCAGGAATTTGTTCTCTGTGGGGTGGAGGAGGCTCCGTTGGGTGAGGAATTTCCCGTGTTGGTTCCCCACAATCCGTGACCCCACGGGGGAAATGGGGACAGGTCACCCCAAAGGGCGGGAGGGGACAGGGCTGTGCCACCCCGAACAGGGAGGGACAGGAACCCCTCGGCCGTGGACGAGGAGGGCTCCGGGGTCGGGATGGACATCCCGGAGTGGGAGAAACCTCCGGGAGCATCTCCGGGGCAGCGGCAGGACCCGGAAAGGTTCTGGTGGCTCCTGGGGACAGCAGCGACAGCAGCGGGGTGGCACCAGCCACCTGCAGCGACGCTCGGGTCCCTCCCCCGCCTCTCTCCTGCCGTGTCCATCCTGCCCCGGCCCCGCTCCGGCCCCGTTACTCGTTGAAGATGGCCCCGAGCTGCGGCCCCGCCACGTGCGCAGGGAAGGACTCGTAGCCCACGTCCAGCGGGATCTCGTAGCGGGGCACGGAGCTCGGGAAGTGCGAGCCGTGTCCGTGCGCCCCGGCCAGGCTGACCGCCGGGTAGTGAGCCATGAAGGGGTAGGGTTTCTCCAGCTCCGGGGAGCCGTCCTGCTTCAGCGAGAAATTGCCGCTGATGCTCAGGGGAGGGGTCAGCGGCCCCTCGTAGGGGGGAGTGGAGCAGTCAGAGGGGTGGCTCCCGAACGACGCGTCCACCAGGCTCTTGAAGGCCGGCGGCTTCAGGTGCAGCAGGTGGGACTCCATGGAGCCGTACGGGGGGCTCGGTAGCCCTTGGTAGCCAAAGGAGTGGCCGGCCAGGGCCGCCTCGCAGGCCGGAGCTTTCTCGTCGTGCTTGTCSATGAAGAGCGGCTGCGGGCCCAGCTGCAGGCAGCCGGCCACCAGGTTACTGGTGGGCTGCGACAGCCCCTTGCACAGCATCTCCACGAAACTCTTCCCCTCGGGCGTCTGGCCGCTCTCCAGCACCTCGGACAGGGCCCAGATGTAGTTGCGGGCCAGGCGCAGCGTCTCGATCTTGGAGAGTTTCTGCGTTTTGGAGTAGCAGGGCATCACCCGCCGCAGGTTGTCCAGGGCGTCGTTCAGCCCGTGCATCCTCGTTCGCTCGCGGGCGTTGGCTTTGACCCTCCGCGCCCGGAACCGCTCCAGCCGCGCCTTGGTCATCTTCTTCTTCTTCGGGCCCCTCCTCTTGGGCTTCTCGCCGTCCTCTTCCTCCTCCTCCTCCTCCTCCTCCTCGGCGCTGTCGCGCTCCTGGGCCAGGGCCGGTGCCAGCCCGAATTGCGCTGTCCTGGGGTCCCCGTCCTTCAGCTCGGCCTTGGCTCCCGGCATTTCGTCCATCCAGCCCTGGCTGCTCACCAGCTCCGCCATGTCCGGGGCTTTGGCGCAGGTCTGGGGCATCGCCGAGCTCTGCAAGGGAGGGACGGGGAGGTGGGAACGGGAAATTTCCCCAGCGGGAAAATCTCCCTCCAGACCCGCCAGCAGCGCTCCCATTACCCATGGATTCCCTTTGCCCACCCATTTCCCTCTCAATTTCCGGTGGATTTAATTCGGGAGCCACTGATGTTTCTCTCCGGGCTCCAGCACCTCTTTCCCATCTTTCAACCATCCCATTTTGGGGTTATCCCCATTCCTGAATCCCTTCCCACACCCTCTCCACCCCGATTGTCACATTGAGGGTGACAAAAGGGGGCTGGGAATTCCCGCTCTGAGATTTCCCTTCCCCGTGTGTCCTTTCCTCTCGGCGGCAGCGCCCCAAACCCCCCATTAACGGGGTCCCCGTTAATCAGCCCCCCCAAATCCCGCCATCGTCCCTGACTCATCCCATAAAGCTTTAGCCCCTAAGCAGCTTTGCTGCCCGAGCCGCGGCTCCCCTTTCCCGAGCATCCCACGCGGAAAATCCCACGTTTAATATGCGTGATGGGGCTCCCGGGCGGGATTAGGGTGTTAATTGCTCTCCTATCCCCGAAGGACCACGCGGCCCCAATTAACTCCGGCCAGAGCGCCGGGGGTCGGGCTGAGCCCGGAAAATCGGGTGGATGAGGAGGGGGAAGGATGGTTTTTGGGGTGAGGGGATGGGTCCGGCTGGTCCCGAGTCCCTCTGATGGGATGAGGGGATGGCCCCGGTGAGATCAGCCCCAAAATCCTGCAGATCAGCCCCAAAACGCTGCAGATCAGCCCCAAAACGCTGCAGATCTGCCCCCAAATCCTGCAAATCAGCCCCAAAATCCTGCAAATTTGCCCCAAATCCTGCAGATCTGCCCCAAAACGCTCCAGATCAGCCCCAAAATCCTGCAGATAAGCCCCAAAATCCTGCCGATCAGCCCCAAAACGCTGCAGATCTGCCCCAAAATTCCCCCAGGCTGCTCCCGTGGATCCATCCCGGAGGAAATCCTCGGGTTTGGGGCTCCCCGCGCCCCTTCCCTGCCCGGCATTTCCAGGGAAAGTTCCGTCTCTGGAAACCCCGTTGGAATTTTTAAGGGGATTTTGCTTTCTTCCTCCAGAATATTGATTTTTTTAAAAAAAGGAGTAAATTACACAAAGAGGGAATTGCCTGGGGAAGCCTCCTCCTTCACCACCGTCCCCTCCATCCCCCGCCCGACCCTCGCTGTGTCCCCGCCCGGCCCCGGGACCGCGGTTTCGTCCCCAACGGGGACCGGGGACAGCTGCTGTGGCCCCGTCCCGCCCCTCTCCYCGCACCCCCGGCGGCTCAAAGCCCCCCGGGCCGGGGTCCCGCCGCTCCGCCGTCGRGGCAGAACCGGGAGCGGCCGCGGAGCCCCGTCGGGGACAGCCCGGAGGTCCCGCTCCGCTCTTACCTGAGCACCGCAGCGAGTCCCCGCTGTCACTCGTGTCGCTTGGCCGGGCACATGACGGGGCCAGTCCCGGGGGCGCGGGCAGCTCCCGCCGAGCGGCACCGGGAGCGCACCGGGAGCGGCACCGGGAGCGGCACCGGGAGCGCACCGGGAGCGGCACCGGGAGCACACCGGGGGGCGGCACCGGGAGCGGCACCGGGAGCGGCACCGGGAGCGCAGCGGGAGCGGCACCGGGAGCGGCACCGGGAGCGCACCGGGAGCGGCACCGGGAGCACACCGGGGGGCGGCACCGGGAGCGGCACCGGGAGCGGCACCGGGAGCGCAGCGGGAGCGGCACCGGGAGCGGCACCGGGAGCGCACCGGGAGCGCACCGGGAGCGCAGCGGGAGCGGCACCGGGAGCACAGCGGGAGCGCACCGGGAGCGGCACCGGGAGCGGCACCGGGAGCGCAGCGGGAGCGCACCGGGAGCGCACCGGGAGCGGCACCGGGAGCGCAGCGGGAGCGGCACCGGGAGCGGCACCGGGAGCGGCACCGGCGGCTCCGCGCTCGGGCGGTTTTGAGAGCTCCGCGCTGCCCCCGGTTCCTGCCCGGCCGCGGGTCCCGCGTGGCTCCTCCCACGGGGGTGTGACCGGGCCCGGCTCCTCCCGCGGCCCCACCGGGACCCCGAGGGCAACTCCCGAGCGCCCCGGGATGGGGCAACTGGGGGAGGGGGAGGAACCTGCGACACTCGGGAATCCCGGGATGGGGACCCCTGGATGGGGACCCGCAGGTGGGGACCCCTGAATGAATCCCCCGGGATGGGGACTCCTGAATGGATCCCCCTGATCGGTCCCCCCGGATGGGCCCCCCCGTTTGCCCAGCCCCAGAACAGCCCCCCACACTCAGCCCCCTCCCCCCGGGGGTCCCCACCCCACAGGACCCTGCCAGGCACGATGTGACAATGCCACCAGTGCCACCAGTGCCACAGACCCGGGGGGTGTCCCCACCCGTCCCCCCCCTTCCTGGGCACTGCCCGGTGACCCCGAGGGTGACACTGAGGGTGACCCCGAGGGTGACACTGAGGGTGACCCCGAGGGTGACACTGAGGGTGACACTGAGGGTGACACCGGCTCCCGCCTGGGTGCTGGAGGTGGGCGCGGGTACTGCGACCCCCGCCCGGCTGCAATGAGAGAGCGAAGGGGGAGTAATTAACGCTCGGCAGAGCCAGAAGGGGCCCGGCCGAGCTGGGGACGGGCAGGGGAAGGGTCCTCGGGGCTCGGCAGCCCCCGGAGGAGCAGAGCGGGAGGCGGGAAAAGCCCCCTCCCCCGAAATTTTGAGGATCTTGTGTAGTTTTTCGTTTTTCTTAGCCTGGGGCTCCCCCAGGTTGGGGCAGGGGCTGCTCCCCTCTGCAGCAGCCGGGCTGGAAGYGGGGGACAGCGGTGACACCCCAAACTCACCCCGCTGCCCCCTCCCATCCATCCGCTGCTCCCCAAATCCCCKCGCGGGACCCTCCCCTCCCGCTCCAGCCCCGCGGGACCCTTCCCCACCGGCCGGGAGCGCTCGGAATCGCGGCGSCGGCAGCCCGGGATTACGGGGAATACTAATTAATTCATTAGCGGGCTCCGCGGCTCCCTCCCCGCGCGCGGCCCGGGCGGCTCGAACAGATTGCGGCCGATAAATCTGCCTGTTGCGGGCCCCCCCTGACAGATGGCTCCAACAGGTCCCGGCACCCGCACAAAGGGGCCGGTGGGCGCCCCGGGGAAGGGGGGACACGGCCCGGGCTCTCCCGGGGCCGCGGGACCCCCGGGGGGTGCGGGGCATTGTCTGCGCGGGCCACGTGCCGCCGCTGATCCCATTGTGCGGGGGCTCCGCATCTGTTGGGGTTACGGCGGCCGCGCCCCCCCGGGAACGCTCGGCAAAGATCTTCCCTTCCCTTCCCTTCCCTTCCCTTCCCTTCCCTTCCC